AGCTGAGGCTGTGCAGCCTTGTCCTTCCAAAAGGATGAGGCTATGGATTGGCTTTTAAACTACTTTAACGTGATTAACATAAACAGGTATCTGAATGGAATTAGCTGAAAGTCTGGTTCTATCTGATGCTCAGCCAGTGGCTTTCACTTGTGTGTGTTCTCCACTTCTGTGGTGTCTGTTGGGACACCCCTGGGGTGGTGTCCTGGGTTCAGCTGTAGCAGTCATTTTTCTCCTTCTCAGTAGCTGGTGCAGTGCTGTGGTTTTGATTTTAGCCTGGGAACAGCGCTGATAACACCGATGGTTTTATTTGTTAAGTGATGTTTACCCTAATAAAGGACTTTTCAGTCTCATGCTCTGCCAGTGAGGAGGGGTACGGGAAGCTGGGAGGAAGCAGAGACAGGACACCTGACCCAGACTAGCTGAAGGGGTATTCCAAACCACAGCACGTCATGCCCAGTATAGAAACTGGGGGCAGTTACCCAGAAAGCTGAGATTGCTGCTTGGGTTGGACTGGGTATTGGCGGGTGGTGAGCAATTGTGCATCACTTGTGTTTATTGTTTTCTTTTCTTTTTTCACTTTTATATTCTCTCCCCTTGTTATTTCCCTTATCATTATTATTACTGGTGGTAGCAGCAGTAGTTTTGTGTTATACCTTAGTTACTGGACTGCTCTTATCTCAACCCGTGGGAGTCACATTCTTTCCATTCTCCACCCCGACCCTCAGTGAGTGAGTGGCTGCATGGTTCTGAGTTACCGGCTGGGCTTAAACCATGACAGGTGGGTACTGGGGACAGCTCAGACACCATCACAGAGACTGTGAGGGGATAGCCCTCACTGTGAGCACAAACACTTCCACACTTACCTCCGGGTGTATATGCATATATATACATACTCTGGAAAACCCATAGCATGGGATATGTCTGTGTGCAGAAACACCCGGATGTAGCAATGTTTATTCCAATAGGAAATGACTTCTAAATAGGCTGGTTATTGTCTTTACATGCTGGCAGTGATGACAAGAATGTGAGTCATGCAGTACCAAAAATAAAAAGAGGGGGACTCATGATTGAGGCATCACAGATACCTGTTGGTTACTCAGCTCAAAGCAGATTAAAGACTTCATTTCTGCTGCCACAAAGCTGCATGGTGTTACTTGAGATTTTATAGAAAATAAGTTCTATTCCATTGTTGCCTGTATAATGACATATTTCTCTTCATCTGTCTACAGTGAAATAGTTCCCCAGACTCTTCCCCCAGTGAGTGCTCTTAGTGGGAAAACATGGGCTCCAAATTCGTAACACTGCTCTAAGGAATGTTGGCTGGACCCATAATAGCAGTGCTTGGTCAGAGCTGGTGGTGGCCGTGGTGGGTACAGTCTGCTTTGTGCTGCAGCTTCAGCACCACCAACCCCAGCAGAGGTTCTGAACTGTTCTAGACAAGGACAGTACTTTCCTTACAGGGTGAAAACTGAACCCATCTGTGACTTGTTGGTTTTGTAGAACATAGATGAACACTTCATTTTTTTTCATGTGCATACTCATTTACAGAAATTCCTCCCAAACACCAGTTGGTATTTGCATCCAAACCAGTGGGCTTCTATGTGAAACGGGGGAGCAGACAAGGAAAAAGTACGACTTGTGTTAACGGTTGGCTTGGCTTCTTTCTATCGGTAACAGAGACAGTAGGTGGAGTTTCAACTCCCTGCCTTTGGACTGAACACTTCCCAAGATGTTCCAGGGCAGGTTTACCACAAGAGGGAGCTCTCAAACAGCCAAACAAGTCAAGGTTTTTTCAGCCTACAGAGGAAAAGCATGCCAAAATAAGGCAACAGCCCAAAAACTGTTACCTTAATCCCAAAATGTAAATACACCCAATTCTTTATGAAAAAAGAGTTTTAAACTATATGCCTGTAACTTCAGGTATGCATTCGGCTATAAGTATGTAAGGAAAACTTTATTCTTCTCCTGAAAGAACCCTGCAGCTGCTTCTTGGAAAAACCTTCCTGGTGATGCAGGAGTTACTCCAGTGCTAAAGCACTGCCGGGTCTGGTCCTGTCTATAGTAGGGCTTGCATTACAGAGAAAAGGCAAGCTAAAGAAGGCACCAACAGATCACATCACACACGTTTTCTCCTTTCTCTTCTAATTCCCAAGCAAGGGAGCTGTGGGCTGCCCTATGTAAGTGTGGGCAGTGCCTGCACTGCTATGGGATGGGTATCAACACCACCTGGTTTGAGGAATTGTTTCTGTGCCATGTGAAGGACACCCTCCTACAGGGTTTTCGCATTCCCAGTGCATTCCCTGCCTCATAAGATTCTTGCAGATAATGAAAATGCCATGGCTTGTTTTGCAGGAATGGAGATTTTGCCAGTCCAAGGGCAAAGTTCACCAGCCACACGTCAGTGTGCTCACTGGTTTGTGTCTTTCAGGTTAGGTGAATCAGATATTTTGAATCCTTTTTCTGCAACAAACAGTAGCGTGACAATACAAAGGTGATGGCATTGATATCAAACCAGCAGTCATTGGTATTTTAACTAAAAGTTTAATCAATTTCCTATGTTTAACAACTTAGAAAATTTTGTGCTGATGGACTGCTACTGCATCCCAATTTTTCCCAGCATGACACAAAATCATTACAGAGCAACATTCTACAAAGGTTTTACATGGAACTCTGACATACCATACCCTACCACGGACATTCAGAGATACGAAAGCATAATTAATCAAGGTCTAGCAAACCAACCTGCTGCACAAACCATGCAATCACTGACCTAACAAACCACAGCTAAAATACTCATAGCACTGGAGAGAGAGAAACATCTCTGCCACAAAAATGACACAAAGGATACCATGTTAGGTAGCAGTGGTTTGAGTGATTACAGCAGACAGGATAGACTAGCTATAAAACGGAAGAGGCCACTTACACATTAATTCTATTTGCTTGACCTGTTATTACTGTTTTTCATTACCCATAGTTTTTAATTTGTTCTTCCTTCTCTGTGTCACACGTATCAAGGAAATCAGCAAATGAATCATAAAAGGTTTATCAGGATGAATTATTTAATTGCAGTACCTACATGTTAAAACACATTTGACAGTAAGGGACAAATTACCACCCTAAAGTAAGCTGGTAATGGGGCTCCAGCCTGATCCACCTCACGGCCCATTTCTTCAGTCATCAAATTGACTATGTACAAGAAAAATACCAGGCTACTGATTTCAACCTCTGGTTTATAAATAAGTACATAAAAGTGATGCAGATTAAATATGTAATTTCAAGAACAACCACAGCACAAGCCAAACTGTAGCAGAGTTCACTGAATATATTTGTAATAGTTACATTGAGTTTCATCTCTAAGGCCTTGTGAGAAAAAAGGGCAATACTTCAGCTAGGTTGGTACACACATTTCAACATCATTACTGGAACATTCCATTGTGAATTCAGGAAATATGTATTATTTCATTCATCTGCTATTAATTATCGCAGAGGGAGGTTTTAAAATGATTTTTTAAAGTTATCAACAGTGATAAATTCAGCTTGAAAAGATATACCTCATCCTTCTACAATGAATGTTAGGAAAGATGTAAAATAGATACCTATGCAGCACACACAACAAAAATGCCACATTGCTGCTTAAACTAGCCCAACATGACAGTATTTCACCTCCTGAGAGTATTGAGAAAAGCCTCAATGTACTGATGACCAACCTGGGCACACACAAAAGCCTATGGTTACTGCAGAGCACATTAAGAGGAGGTGGTATATGACTCCAAGATGCAGCCTGAGCATTTCCCTCAAGCCTCCTGGGTGGAACACGATGCAGAGTGCCATCCGGGCTGCTGAGGAATCCAGCAGGAATGCAAGCACAACTTTCTCACAGATTTCTTGTGTCAGCTTAGGCTACAGCAATTTATGGGAACTTTCCAAGTGACTCATGTTTAAATTCACTCTGTTTTTATTATGGTCTGCACTTGCTACTTGTAATAAAAAGACGCTTTCATCAGAGGCGATTTGAGGGATTTTTATGGTCCTTTCAGTGACAGGATTACATCTTTTGTGCAGGAAGGGCTTTTCAGAAGGGGAAGTCTGTCTGTGGAAGTGACTTTTCTGCTGGAATGACTGACAGGTCTGCTAAAGATCCACAAGTGGGTTGCAGGAGGTTTTTGCCTGTAAAAGCTACTACTAGGAAAGGACAAAAGGTAGAAACAGAGCCTCAAGGACAGCCCAAGGAAGGACAAGCACAGCTCTCTCCCTCCCCAGCCTGTTTTTCTGTAGGATTATAGCCTTTTTCAGCACAGGATGTTACCTGTGGTTGTTGTGCAGCACCCTTGTATGAGATGGGGGTGTAGAAACAGGTTTGGTGTGCAGTTCAGGTCGGAAAAGTGCCTCACTGGATTAGTGCTGTGTACCTCAGCTCCTGCTGTAACTCCTCTGGTTGCTAGCAAGCAAATCATATCAAAAAGACCAAAGAAAATCTTCATTCTGCATTCAATTACAGGGCTTAATTTCTCTACAAAATATTACACGTTGTACAAATACACAAGAGTAGTGGATTTACACTCACATGCTTGCATATCAAAAAGAAGATTGCATTCCAAAGGAAGAAATCTCCTTAACTGAGAATAAGAGGCTTTAAAAGATCTTTGAACAAAAATGCCTTCTCTTTGGAGCCTAGCCCACATCCCGAGGTACAGAGTCCATTAGGACTTGGTGAGAACATCTAACTGCAAGCCCTGTCCTTGGTCCAAGCTGGGGACTGCTCTAGACCCACCATTACAGCACTACTCCTGCCCTGCTAGAAGAAACAAGCATCCAGCAGCTTTATTTGCCAAATCAAAATGCTATTTGTTTGCAGAGGAAAAAACATCAACCAATATTTACTGATCCCACAAGAAACTTTATTCTTCTCAGTGCTAGGGTTTCAGAGGAAAATGCCTTGATCTTATCAGAACACCTCACGCTAAAAAGGGCTACCAATTTTCCAGTGTTGTATCAGTGTTCAGGTAGTAACAGGATGAAATGCAGTAGCTGAAACCTCTGATTTTACAGGGAGACAGTTATTTTCTCGTGTTTTTTCTAAGAGAAAGAAAACATGGAAGGAAAAAGGCCACATATCCCAGCATGGCTTTTTGCCCTTTACATAGCTTTGTGGTGCCATCTCTGGGTTGACAAAATAGTTTCAGCATTTCAAGTGTGTGTCTTATTATACTTTATCCTTCTCCTCAGCTTCAACACTAGTCACAGCAATTAGCTTCCCTCATCAGTGTATGAATCTTTGAATCAAGAGAAAAGCCAGTACCACGAGATTAAACCCGCTCTTTTTTGCATAGGATTTTCTGTCTGAAGAGATTGACATTAACTTGGATTATAATAAAAGGTCCCTTTTAAATCACTCAGGGTTTTTTGTTTGGTTTGGTTTTTGTTTCTCCAGAAAGTCTGGTGGTTTGGAAACCATTTACAGTTCTTAATACTCCAAGAGTCCAGTAACATCTACTCAGTTCTCTTGTATTTAGCCAATCTTATTAGATCAACAGTTCCTGTTAAAACTTTCACAGCAAGAAGCTTACTTTCTAAACTTGCACTAAAAAAATGTAACTGTGTTATTTTTATTTTTTTAATGTAATTTTTTCAATTTCCAGTGGTTTCTCGAGTGTCATTTTCAATAAAAGAAAATTCCATACCAAGGACATGCCATTGCACACACAGGAGAAGAAGCATTCAGCCCCATCCAAAATGATGGTTCTTTACATGTGCACAGGGAAATTCATTGTGAAAACATAATGAGGAGTTCATAATCTTTTTGTAAAAGTACAATGAGCTTGAAGTACCATATATACATTCCTGCTTTAAACCATAATAATCTTTTAATAGCAACCTTTTAAACCATCTTCATTATTGTAATGCCTAGAGACCAGCCAAGCGTGGGATCCTGACTTTGCCACACCACACTAAAATCAATAGAAGGCTGCTTGTGGCCCTGCTTTCTGCTATGCCTGTGGATGGAGATCTCTTCTTCTGCCAGATGAACCCCCTGAGCCAGCTCTTTGCAAAGTCAGATAGCAGCACACAGAACAGAAGTGCAGAATTCCTGAAAATGGGATTTGAGAGAAGCAGGACCACTGTAGCACCGGTTCAGTTTGGTTTACACTGCTGTGATGCTGCAGTTTGCAGGGATGGTTCCTCAGTCAGTTTACACCTGTAAATCCATTTATACCTGCATATCCATATAGTTTATACCTGTATATTCATATCATTTATACCTGTACATCTGTATAGTATACCTGTATATCCATACAGTTTATACCTGTACATCCATATAGTTATAACTGTATATCCATATAGTTTACAACTGTATATCCATATAGTTTATACCTGTATATCCATTCCTGCAGCGAAACAAAAGGGAGCTCCTCACTTTGCTGCATGCTCACTTTTCCCTAGTGTCAGGACTAAGAGGGAAGAAACAGGCAGACAGTGCTGACCTGGAACTAAACTAAGCTTTCATGACATAATGGCTCCCATTGACAAGGGTCCCACCAGCCCTCCTCTCCCCCATACACCTTCTTTTGGCTCCAGATCTGGCACTTAACTGCAGCAGTTTAGGAATCTGGATTAACAAAAAGCTAATTCTGTTCAGGGGAAATAAAAATAATGAGAGAAAAACCTCCCTGGAGTGTTTACATGGGAGTCAAATAAACAGCCCTGGTGTCAGAGAGGGAAGGATGGTACACCACGAGCACATGTCACTGAAGGCCTCATCTACAGAGTTTTCGAACACTTCCAGGTACGGTGAGTCCCCCACTGCTAGGAGCAGCCTGTTCCAATGCCTGACCACCCTCTCTGTGAAGAAACTTTCCTCATCTCTATCTATACACCCCCTGGCGCAGCTTGAGGCCGTTTCCTCTTGTAACTTGGCAGAGGAGACCGACCCCACCTCACTCCATCCTCCTGTCAGGCAGCTGTAGGGAGCGATAAGGCGCGCCCCCCCGCGAGCCTTCTCTTCTCCAGACTGAAACCCCCCGGTCCCTCAGCCGTTCCCCCGGGCACCCTTCCCAGCGCAAGCCTGGGGCACAGCACTCTCCTCCCCGCCTACCCTGTTTCTCAACCCTTGTCCTTCCTCTTCCTCCTCCGCTCCTCCGGCCCTTAGGGCGCCGCTGGCCCGGCGGGGGCGCACTGCGCATGCACCACCTAGTACAGGTCCGGCGGAGGTGGGAGGGGCGGAGGGAAGAAAGGGGGCGGGACCCGAAGGGGAGGGGGCGGAGCCTCAGTGTGCCACGCCCGGAGTCTCAGGCGGCTGCAGGGGCGGCCCGCGGTGGGGGGGGGCGCTACTTCCCCGGGACAGAGGCGGTGCCGCGGGGTGGCTGAGGGGGGCGCCGGGTCTGGCCCAGCCCGCGGTGGGCGCTGACGGGGAGAGCGGCGCGGAGCCGGGAGCCGCCGCGGCGAAGTTTGGAAGCTGCCCCGCGGGCGAGCAGGGGGAGGAGGGGCCGCAGACCTTGGCGTCGGGAGCATGAGCGGTCCGCCCCGGCCTCGCCATTGCTGCAGCGCCCGCGGGAGGACGGGCCGGTGCCCGTGGCCGTGAGGGGGATCGCTCCGCCGTGGGGAGCCCGCGGCTGCCCGCCTTCCGCTGAGGCGTCTGCGAGCTCTCTCCGCCCCGCAGGCGAGACCGGACGATCGCTGCCTATTCCCTTTCTCCCGGGCGGGAGGGGCGGCGGCCGGGAGCCCTCCCGGGATACCCCTGGGACGACGCGGAGGCGGCTGGAAAGCCCCTCGCCTGAGGCGGCCGCTCCCGCCCACCGCCCCTCACCTCAGCTTCCCCCCGCGGGCGGAGGCAGGCGGGAGCCGCCCGGGTCCCTGGCTGCAGCGCATGGGGGCGGCGGGCGCGGGGCCGGGGCGCAGCGGGCGAGGGGAGGCCCCGTGAGGGCAGCGGCCCTGCCGGCACCGCCGGGCGCGTCGCGTCCCCTCCCCGCCCTGCCCGGGCCCAGCTCCCGGCGCTGACGCCGGGCGGCTCCTCTCGTCTGCGAAGAAACTTTTCCCGTGTCGGGCGAGGATGGATCCGGGCGGTCTGGAGTACTTCTGCGAGCAGGTACAGCAGAAGGACGTGGCCCGCAGGATGCAGGTCGGGCAGGAGCTGCTGGAGTACCTGAGCGACCCGGCGCGCTGCTCCGAGGTGGAGCAGGACCTGCAGCGCTTGGACAAGGTGATCGACGAACTGACCACATGGGTCAACTCCAGCAACTTCAAGGTGAGGCTGCGGGGACGCTCGGTGCGGGAGCGACCATGATTCATCATGGCAGGGAGGTGCGGGGCTCCGCGCTGCTGCGTTATCGGATACGAGCAGGAATAAAACTGCCTTTATATTGGGTTTTATCCCTCCTCTGATAAAAGGAAACTCGTTTTTTTTTTGGGGGGGGGTGGGGGGGTGCTGTTAACGCTTTCTTATTTCTGCTCCTCTGCTCTGAAAGAAGTGGTAATATGAGTTTCATTTTTGCTTTTATCGCTGGTTCAACTTCTTTTTTTTTTGGACGTAATAACAAAACTAAACCAAACCACACAACTGCTTTACATACCCGGGCGGTGTTTCTTATTCTGAAGCGAGATAAGGGATGATTTTTCCCTCCCCCGCTCCCGTTCCGTGCTCTCTGTACTTGGGTGTAGCGTTTCCTGGATTGCCATGGTTTTCTGTAGGCCGTAGGAGTGCTGTCTCACCGGGTTTGTGCCGCACCGGGCGTGTTTGACACGGTTTAATGGATAATTGGCTGCTGGGGGTTCCCGTTGTGAGTTTGAGGCTGTTTTCCCGTCTCCAGGTGACTTTCCCGGCCGTGGGAAGTTGTGCGGTGTTTCCGCAGCCGCCGATGATGACTCACGTTTCGTAGCGTGTTGTATGTGCGCGTTTCAAGACCGAGCTGCCGGGAGGCAGCGATTGCTCGGGCACGCTCCCCTTGGGATATGTGTCCATCGTTCTGACGCTGGCCAGCTGATAAGGCGATTGGCAGCGTAGTTCTATTACCGGGGACAGCCGTGTTCGCAATAGCGAGTTGTATTAATTAGTTAATTAACTAACTAATTCGGCGTGCCGCTGGGCCGGGTCCGCGCTCCCGTCGCCTGGCGGCGGTGTCGGGCTGCGATTGCGCTGGGCTCTGTAAGCCCAGCCAGATCCGCCCTTCCCTCCGCACTTAGAAACACAGCGCGGGTCCGGTTGTGGAAGGGACCGTAAAGCTCATCCGGTTGCAACCCCCTGCCACGGGCAGGGACACCTTTCATTAGACCGGGTTGCTCCAAGCCCCGTCCTTGAATAGTGCAGGGATGGCGCTCATTCCCTTCTCTCACTGTCTTACCTTGTAGGATAATTGACTTGCACCTTGGGCCTCTGGACTCATTGTCGTGAGGTTATTGTGATTTTTTCCCCATCTGCTTAGGCTCAGGAAGCATACACAGGAGTGTCTTTGGGGCAGTTTGTTCATTAAATGGGTATTTGTTTTTCAGTGTTTGCATGTAGCCCATTTAAGTTTCAAGTTCCCTTCTAAGTTTCCAAGTAATAAGGCTTAAGTCTATTTGCACATGTGATTTCTTTATTTTGAAGCATGTTCGTCATTAAAGGTCAAGATAGATTGAGAAAATAACGTGGACAAGTATGATCTGTTTGCCTTTAAATTCCTCATCTGAGGGCAGTTGCTGATAATAAGTGATGTGAAACCTGGAGAGGTTTATAAAGAGGACTAGGTATTACTTATCTCAACAAGGCAATATGGAAGTTTCCTTTTGCTCTTTTAATTTGTCAAAATTTGGGCTTAATTCTTGAAATCTACTTCTCAAGATGAGTGTTTCATAAGGAGACACATTCTGCTTGCTGCTAAGGTAAGGTGATAGGGCTCTTTGGCTGTTAGGACTGCAGGAGAAATGAGGATATGCAGCACTCCAGATCACAAGCCTCAGTCGTGCAAGATGAGTTTAAAAAAGAACTTGCATGATAACTAAAATATATTTGTTACCTCTTCTCTATATCCACTTACTGGGGGCTCTTTATATATACAGTGCTCTATTTCAAAGCATGTTAAATGCATTCTTTTAGCTGCAGCAGCACAGGATCTTGGATGTTTTGTTCATGATCAGTTCCAGTATTCCTGGCTGTGGGGGCAGCATCTGCTGCTTCAAAACAAAAATACTCTGGAAAACTGTGCTTTGCATCTTATGTGCATGTTTTATCCTATGCAAGGATAGGCGCAACTTCAAATGTTAAATCTGAGTTTGCTGTTAAACTTGGTGCCTGTATGACATAATCAAGTAATGAGTGCCCAGGTTTACGTTTATTTTCAAGGAAAATATTCAAGTAATCTTCATCTTTGATTACTGTATTTTTTTTAGTGATTTGTTGGTGTTTTTTCCCTTTGCTGAGTGTCAAGTGGGGAATACTGGAGGGAATTTTAAGGAGGGCATTTCCGCTGTAGACGATTGGTATGGATGACAAGGGAATAACTAATGTAGCTTGGCCTGGATACGCCTTATCTTGTTCTTATGTGCAGACTCCATTCTTGCATGCAGTGCAGTGATGACCACACTGAAAGAGAAGATGCATGATCTTGGAACTCAGCTCTCTGCTGTACCTGAGAAGAGAAAACTCTACAAAATGCCACCCTGGAAAGTTTCTGTTTCCCATAACCAAAAGGGAAAGGGTCTGAAGGGAATAGAAATAGGAGAATTGATTGGGCAGACTTGATAATGAGTAGGGAAAAAGGGAAGAGGTGTTCAGTAAACAAGTGTGGGCAGTCTCTGAGGTTGTATTGTCTCAAGCAGGTTTTAGTTATCCAAACAGTGATTTTAAGTTTCTGAAGTTTGCAGCTGTTTATAGTGGTTTAATAAGCAACCTGGCAGTTCCAAACTAAGAAAGCAGATAGCAGAATTTCTTCAGTTTATCTAGCTCATCAAGGTGGAAAATGCAATTACCTGGCTGAGTTACTGGTAAATCAAAAAGGTGGGAGTAAGAAAGTGTTGACTCATCTGCAGATGGAGTTCTGGTGCAAGTTGGTTGTGGAGCACAGGGAGTGACCTAGAGAGATCTGAGTCATTAAAGGCTGATCTTAATGGTGTATCATGGGGACTTCAGCTACCAGGTCTATGCAGTCAGGGATGAATTACTTTCCACGACTGCTGGAAACTTTGCAAAGCCAGGGAGCACCCAGATTTATTTTGTATCTCATTAGAATGAAAGAGTTGCTCACTGAACGAAATATTGTTTGCTTGGTGTCCTGGTATTATGAACTCATTTATTTCAGGTTGGTTGGGACTGACCTCTCTCCTACAATTCAGAGGTTTCAGTTTGGCTTGGGTTTTTTTTGTCTCCCATGTGACAGCTTTCCCAAGGCTGTGAGGAATAGTGGAGAAACAAAGTAAGAGTGATGAATTCTGAAAGCTTTTTAAGGAGTAGGTAAGTTGGATACAAAGTATTAAGGGATGGG